GTGATTTTGGGCAGCTTCTCTTCTTCCTGTGCAATGCAGTGTTGGATTGCTGGTGCTTGATTATGCTGGCTGACGGATTTATTTGAGGTTATGCGTGGATGTGTGAGTGTGCGTGCGTGCGTGCGAGTGTACGGTAGGTATGTACTGATACTGCGAGTTATATGCGAGATTGTGGGGACTTGTCTCGAACAACACGCTGTTTAGCTGAATCCAGTCTGAAGAGCACCGTGATTCTGTGAGAAAAATAGCCAGTGCTTTGCTGGTGTGGAATCCCTGATAGATATCGGCTAAAAAGTGTCGATTGCTTCTTGTGATGCCAACACAGCGGCCGAGTAAAGAGTGTGATTGTGCTGATTCGATGAGAATGCGGATTAATTCAATAATCACTGGCCCTTGGTGGCCCTTGGTGGCCCCGGGGAAGTTGATACCTCGAAGCACCTAACGACTTCAAGTAATATCTCTCTGTCATGTACGAGTATGACCCACGGATTATCAACGGATTATTGAATCTTGATGTAAAGAAAAACGAGTGAAGGGGGGCTTTAGAGGCGGGGCGGGCTTTGGGGCCTCTTTTTTCTTCTTCTTCTTCTTCTTCTTCTTTTTTTCTTCCAATCAATTGAGGTTATATTAAAGGAAAGTCAAAAGGGTCTTGTTTCTTGAATCAGAATAGTGGATTGAGATGAAAATAATCCATGGGCCATTTTTTTCATTGGTTTGTGTTTTTTCTTGAAGCCAACGAGAACGAGATACCTAGATATGCAGAAGAAGATCAAAAAGGGCAGAAGAAACCCCCTCCATTGCACTGAGCTAGTATCTCACGATGTACAATTCAATAACCATCCTTATAAATGTGTACAAGAAGGAGGAGCCTTTTTCCCTGGGATCAGCAAGTACAATACGATGATACGGTTCAGATCCCAGGAATGTGCGGTCGCGATGAAATTCGAGGCGTTGGAGGGTGACACTGATAAGAGAGGGAGGGAAAGGAAGGAAAGGAAAGAAACGGTGTGTTGGATGTGACTTTGAGAGGCGGGAGGCAAATGAGAATTGAGTGTGAAGTGTGATGAATCATGAAAGTTTCTGAAGCTTTCTAGAGCAGCTTAGTGGTTAAGGTGTCAAAATTGAGTTCCGATATCTACCTACCTTTGTTCGAAATCCGCCCTGAAAATACTACTCACTGCCCAGGTGGTAATTACCCAGTATCTTTGAGTTCAGCCACAGAGATTCTAATTCAGAGACTTCCAGTCAAGTGAATCCTCCACCGTCGCAGACTCACAGCACAGTAATTGGAATTTGGAAGCCATTCAGCAAGTTAACCAGTCAACCAAACCCACTTCATACTTGGGTATCATATCACATTATCACAAGACCATCTGTAATTACAGATCGACCAAATCCCTCCAAACCCAGAATCTATCACCATGGCATCAAAGCTTACCCATTTCGAGAAGTGGATGGTTGGGTTGGATTGGATTGATTGATTGATTCCGATTCCATTCCCATATTTCCCCCAAACCTCGGATTGTCAATGCATATCGTATCTAACCTTTTGTATGATACTGGCTAGGCTAATCCTCCTCCATACAAAGTGAACTTCACGATACCGCGGGATATCAAATACATTCACACGGTACAGGTGAGAGGGAAAATGCAGCTGTTCTTCTATGGAGTGCAGCCGTTCTTCTATTGAGTCGGCAGCAACGCTTATTCCTTGATCAATCGTACAGACAAATACGGTAAATATGCAGCTGCCTCCTCGAGTCATGCAGCTTTACTCTTCACTTCAGATTACACAATATATACTAAATCAAATGAGATCTTTATTTACTTACTTATTTAGTTATCTATCCATCACCGTTCATTTCATTTCGCCGTAACCTCTTTTTGCCTGCTCCAGAGTCTAAATGCTACAATCCTAATTTAGGGTACCCTTTACCTGCCCCTTCATTTTAGCGTCCCTAGTACTGCAATGACAGGTCCCAAACAAATCGTTATTTATATCACCAGCCATTCAAATACGCTGCTGCATTCTGCGTCAAAGCCACTCTTCACCAACTGCCGATTCTGCAGTTGCTATTCTAGAAATATATTTAGGATAGATAGGATTTAAGCATAGCTTTGGGGCTGTGACAATCAAGGACGAGCACATGTCAAAGAAATATCACAACTTGCTCGATCAAATGTTGATCGGGAATACCTTACCTATTGTTAGAGTTTTTTCTGCACAAATAGGGGAAATCCCGTAACCCTTGGAGAACAAGTGGGAATTGGAGAAAAGAAATGTCGGAAGATTCATATTAATGCCTGCTCCATTGGTAAACAATGCGTACAGTCATAAATCATCACTCCAATCCACTCATATATCTCATGATTTATCATACGGAACATTCGTGAGTCGTGTTTCGCCGCCCCGTGTATAAATCTTCCATATAATCCCATGCCCTACTCCGTATACATGTTAAATCGGGTTTCGTGCCATCAATGCAAGACTGTCCGAGAGTAGGCTCGTTGTATACATGCCTAACTGGATAAGATTCAGAGAATTAGGACTTTCATACCGCTATGGCCTTGGCAAAAAAGAGACTATCTAATGAAAGACAAGATGATCTAGGGGTGTTTTGTGCACCCTATGTTGTGTATGCAGTCCATTACATACAGTGACCTAATTCAACCGAGCATCCAGCGTGGGGATGTTTTACTCCCCCCAAATAGCATGACGGAAGCTGACTGCGCACATCATGGATTCATGAAAAAATTACTGATTGCAAATGGATCATGTTTATTTTAACCCCTTCGTTGCAATTCTTCACTTGATACATCGATATTGTGCGTCACGTAAGAATATTTTTTTACCTACCTAGTTACCGTTGATCTGGAGCTTTCCATACGAAGCATACCCATCCCAATGGGCATCGGTGACACCATCCACGCGCGCCCCTTTCTTCTCTTTACCATTTTTAAAAACCTTTATCAGACTTTGACAAAGTGACAGTTGACAGCCCATTTTGTCTTAGTCCTTACGATCAACTTACCTTATCCTTGCCCGCTCTTGTGGGTATGGTTCGGGTATCATTCCCCACTAAACGTGGTCTTCTGAGTCTACGATTTTAGCTCTCCCGGCTTCCGCTGTCGACGGTTCCAAAAGCCATCGAAGGGCCGGCACGCTTTTCTGCTTGAAAATTTGTTCGAGGAGGCTGGGAGGCTGGGAGTCAGGTTTTAACTTGTGAAAACTGTACAGTCTTTCCATCATCATATTGGTCGATATAGACCCTGAATGATGCCCCTGTATCCATATCCCATAAAAACTCATCTGCAGGATGGTACGGATGAATTGGCATGATTGATTGCGGTGACCGGACTTCTTTGATGTAACGTGATCAAAAAATAATCATGCCAGAGGAAGGATACGACCTCATGGAGTCATGGCAGTAAAAAACAAAAAGGGCATCTCGAAGCCATGCTGACTTCTATATCCTCGCATATCTGGTAATGGGCTAGTTTCTTGTTCTTCCGCTGAAGATCCTGATTGACACGTTTCACCCTGTCCGTAATCCACACTATCGGGTCTCATTCGAGGCTGGAAGGATAGCGCAAGTCTAACGGTTGCTTGCATATGCGAGCTGAGCGGTGTGATATAGGATGAAAAATCTGGGGGAAGCATAATGTTTTTGTACCGCTTTTTCTCTGCTGGGTCATTGATGACAAGTTCTGCATTCAAGATGAAAGCTGACTCTCCAATGCTCCATCGATCTCGTTCGGCCTCATTCAAAAAAGAAACCATTTGGTGTAATGAATGAGATCAGATGCAAGAGTCAGCACTAGAACCAACCGAGTATTTTGAGCTCCCAAGATCTGTAATCCTTCTGCAATCGCGGAGGATCAAAGTGTAGGTCGAACAAGGACGTTGCCCCTGACTGTGAGATAATGAAATTCGATGATGATTCTTCAACAAGTGACGAATGACTGCACACAACTTGATAGTAAGTCGATATATGAAGGAAAAGGTTTGATGTAGAGAGAAGACCTCATTCTTCAGCCATGGGCACCCAGCGCTGGCCGAGTCCGCCAATCTGTACCATGAAGCCGAGGATGAATTGCTAGTAGCGATATTTGGCAATCAAGTGACTGCAAGACCTTTAAACATCATGTTATCCGTGAGCGGGAGGCGTTCGACAGCATTAATGTTCTTCGCAGGGAAGTGCACATTTGTAACTTGCGAAATCAAGCCCTTGTTTATGATATCATTTCTACTTCTCTGTAGTATTTTGCAGTTTAGTTGTACCCAGGTACCTATCTCGAGTGGTGTTCTCATGGTGACAAATTGACTACATGTCAAAATGTCAAAATGTCAGATATCGTTCCATTGTTGTAAAATCATAATCAAATGGAATATGTTCCCATGATGGCTCCATTCGAGAGTCATGTGTATGTTGATAGTTATCACATCATTTGTACGGAAACAAATGTAAAAACTGCATCTATCACACAAACACCTTGAATGCGGAGATTGAAAGACTTCAAGAAGAAGTGTAGAATATGAGATGGCGCGTATGAACTATGGCGCGCAGAATGAGAAACGCTGGCAGCAAAATCTCAACATGAATAAAGCTCCAAGTTAGATTTGATGCAGGCTCCCGCTGGCGCATGAACCAAATGATGGGCACTTCTAGGTGCCTAGCAGATGTAAACAAACAAACGAGCGAGCAAACGAAACAGTGGTTTTTCAAGAGATGAAATTCAGATATCGAACGGGTGTTCGTTGAAGAAGGAAGGTGCAATACTCAAAGGTACCTCCAGTTTGGATTTTGAAGTTCATTTGAGAGAGAGGGGTAACTTGGTATTCATTCTCCTCCTTATTTCCAAACCACTTCCCCCTCTTCTCATATTCACTTATTTGATACAGATAGATTGGATGCCTACACGCCAACCAGCTATAAAAATCTTCCTATCGTCTCTCAACCTTCTTCCAAAAGCAACTACATCCCTCCCTCCACCAAACTCCCTTTTCTACTGATACCAATTCAAAACATAACTTCAAAATCATCTTTTAATACTTTGAACGAGCCTCAACTTACTAAAGATTAACCACTCGAGTCGTGCGCCATATTTCCAGATTCTCAACTGATCTTTCAAGGCAGCCTTCCTTCAGCATCGTTTCATCTCACTTCACAATTCACAACGGGACGTGTTGCGCCCATACAGCAATTATCCTACGATAACAAGTGAGTAACTACCTATATCCACGCATTCATCCATCTCATATTTATCTCGAGCTTTGAGATTACCCAAATTCCTCCACAGTCCCTTTGGCTTTCCACAGATAGATTGGTTGTCTCGTTCGATCCAATTTACAACTTCTTCCGTACTTCACTTTTCCTGGAAGTAAAACCGGAAAGTGATCTAAGTTTATAAATTACAATCTCAAATCTCAGGCGCTATGCAGATTTTCTAATTTGTTGATAGAACAGCTCAACTCCAATTATCTTCCACGATTAACAGCAAACCTCCTCATATCAATTCGTCAATTTCTACTCGAGATGTCATTCCGCAACAACCGTTATGCTCCTGCTGCTGAGTGTGTATTCCAATAAATTCTGCTGTGTGTTTGAGTTAATCAAGATTTGTAGGCGCGCAGGCGTTATTCCAGTCGGGTAAGTCAAACGATACTCATTATGCACAACAAATACGCATGAGTCGACAGATGATTCTTCTCTTCGTGCTATCTTTCATGAAGTTCGCTGACAATACTGTCTACAGATTCAGATTTAAATGCAGACATTGCCATATCTACAAAACCAAGGATTGCTTTTCGAAGAAAGAGATTGCTTCATACGCAAATCAGTATGCTCGAAATCCGGGCATGACACTCGACCCTATAGGCTCACTTCTACGATGCTTTGGTTGCAAGGGCGGACAAGCTTCGGAGCGCCAGTGCGAGGGGCCATGCTCTAAGTGGAAATCTTTGGACCAGTTTAGCAAGGCTCAAAGATCTAGGGGCAACGGGGTAAATATGCGAAATTTCCACAACTGGCTTCTACTTTACATGCGTGTAATGACTAACGTGTTGTTTATAGTGGTGCATGGAATGTGTTCAATGGAAGGAAGGCCATCATCCAGAGGTCAATACTACACCTGCTCCTGGCACCGAGCTAGAGCTACTTGATATGACCAGTGATGCGCCTGAGCTCACAACAGGTTCTTCTTATGCTGCGAGCATGGCGAGTGTAAGTACTTTCTGCCCTCATTCCATTGTACCAGATGACTTCGTTCATTCAGAGGGTGATAATCGAGCCCTGAAGTAGTTTACTGCTTACTGATCAACGTTTCACAGTTGTCCCTTGGCAACACTCCAAACGGTTCCCAGCTTGCACCACATCTACGAGCAGCTGCTGGCAGTCAAATTGAGAACCGCTCACAATCATCTATGAGCAACGCCTATGAAGGTGCTCGTACAGCGGATCTGCCAACTAGTTCGGATGTATGGTCTACTCGAGACTCAAGACGTCGTGCAGGTCCTTCCATACATTACAATGCATATGATGCCAGTGGAGTACGTCATTCTCAAGAAAAGGCAATGTCTTTGACCTCTCGTGCTACTTCGACTGCTGGCGCACTCAGCGCGACTTCTGTTGCCAGGGGTGCCGCCAGAGCTCCTCGCGTGGTTGTTAACCCATCCACTGGTTGGGCTAAGCCTGTAAGTCTCTTGATATGAATGTTAATTTCACTCATTCAGCTCTATCACTTATTTTGTATTTCTATCAAATATGCTAATGAAACTTTTACTTTCAGATCGGCAGTCGTACTGCACAGCCAGCCAATCCAGGTGCTGTCACTGCATGGGCTCCAGAATCGAATGAGGTTTACCACAGATCGGTCTACGACTCGAGCGATGACGAAATGTGAATGGAATGACTATGGGAAGGTTCGAAGCCTGCTCATTCCATTGGTTGCTCCCCCGGGCACCATGTTTTCCTGCGGAGAATTGAACGTTTGCAACGACTTTATGGATTTTATTTATTTAAGGCTTCTGGAATGAGTGAGCGACTTTCTATCAAAACACTTTTCTTTTCCACGAATTAGTAATAGCTTTTCCATTCTTCTCTGAACTCTATTAACGTTGGCGTTTCTCTCGAGCTCCGTTCACGGCATGCGGTGGTTTCATGGCTCTGCCTTGGATTCGACTGGAGATGCTGGCAAACCAGCTTCATTAACGATGCGTTGCTGTAGATAGTTAACACAAACGTTTTATTTACAGATGAAGTATTATTAGTGATGTGCTGTTGTATGTTCTGTTCGTTGTAGAAGCTCTCCTAGACCTTGGTGTTTTGAGATCCCATATTCATTGAACTTTGTGGAAAAGATCATTTTGCAGTTTGATTTCTCAAGGATGAGTCCAAAGGCCGTTTTACATTTCATCCTTCTGGGGATTCATATTAATGAGTAATGTAGACTTATCACCTCCTATTCGATAGTTCATGGGAGTATCACTGCACTATCAGAATAGTCTGGCTAGCTTCTATAGAGGGGCTTCAGTTGGGAGGTTTATAAGTTAGGTAGGTTGTTAGGTAGGTAGATGCTAGAGTGGTTGGAATATAGTGAGGAAGGGTGACTGGTGAATGGCTATGCAATTAATGCGCCTTTTCAATGGTAATGTGGTGTGGTATTGGAGAAGAGAGGGAGAGGGAGAGGGAGAGGGAGGATTATCCGTTTGGATATATTTGTGTGTGTGGTAGGTTGGTGGCTGGGATTTTGTTTATGTTTCTGTTTGAAGAGGTAATGATGGGTTTATTGGGGGATTGGGAGATGGGGGAAGATATGTGGAAGAGGGGAGAGGACGGGATGGGATGAAAAAGATGAGATGAGATGTAATAGGAGATGTAATGGTAATGGCAATGGAAAGTGGGGGTATTTGAGTTATAGGAGTGAGTTTGAGAACGAAGATGAGGATGAAAGTGAGATACTAGGTAGATGAGATGGGTGATATGGATGAAATAAGAGTTGGAAGAATGTGGTTGGTTAATGAGTGTAGTGTATGAATTGAGTAGTGGCTGTAGATGTTGCTTATTAGATGTTAGATCGAGATACTAAATGTTATAGTACTAGGGCACAGATAATGGCCGCCCGGGATTTCCCCGGATTTTAGATTCAACTATAAATCATTTAGTCCTTATTATTAAATCAATTATTTTTGATATTATGCTTTTAAATTTTAATAATCTTTTGATTTATATATACATATTAATAGTATAAAGTTATATAAGATTATTTAGTTTATATTTTTTAACATTTAACATATTAATCTTTTATTATTAGAGGTTTACCTTCTTAATAATCTTACTATTATAAGAACTATAGTACTATATATATACGAAAAATGAGAACTCTTACTTAGTAAGACTTAATTCAAGCGATCTCATTGATTAAAATGAATTTCGATTTTATTAGTATTATAATATAATATAATATCTAATCGTCTTTTTCAATAGATCGTTTTTCTTAGAAACTATCTTAATTAAATTAAATAAAGAATTAAAAAAGTAATAACTATATAAAGTAGATTAAGAGCTTTTAAATAATATAATTTTTTAATTCTGATTTCAAATATAAAATCTATATAGAGAATTGAAGTTTATATGTAATGTTTTAAAGCGAATTAAAGATTTTCTTAATATTAATAATAATATATATATAACATATACTATATATAACATATACTATATATAACATATACTATATATAAATACATATATATATAAATACATCTATACCTTAATATTGCTTAACTTAGTTAAACTAGGAATTTATTATTATTATTATTATTATTATTATTATTATATTAAACATTAAAAGGATTAAAGAAGTTAAAAGGATTAAAGAAGTTAAAAGGAGGTAAATCGACTTTCGCCTACAAGCTCCTAATATAACTACTATTCAAAATTATATTTAAAAATTTATAATAATAAAAATTATTAAATAATATTTTCTCGAAAAGTAAGGAGTCCGAGGGCTCGCAGGCCCCTAGTATAAGTCGAGTACCCTACTTTCGGACCATCCCTGTTTTGAGCCACTCTTTACTATTAAAAATCTCAAAAAATGAAATTTTTAACTTTCTTATTTATGAATTAAATTTATTGAAAATTGATATATATATAATTCAGATTGTTTTAAATCTATTCTGAAATTTTTAGATTTTTAGGACTTTTTTGTATTGAAATCTAAAGCTTCAAAATATCGATTTTTTAATTTATATAAGAATCATATACAAATTTAAAACTTTTATAAAACCTTTAATAACTTTTTAATAACAATTATTAAAAGAAAACTGTATATCTTTTTAAAAGTTTCAAAATTAAATCTATATAAAAATTCTAAAAAAAATTAAAAAAAATTAACAGATATAGAGATAAAGTATATAATGAGTTTAGAGTAGTATAAATAATTTCTATAATTTTAAGAATATCTTTCTAAATATTTATTTATAGAAAGTTTTCTATTTTTTTAATCTTTCAAAATAAATATACTATAAATTTATAATAAAACTTTATAGTTTATTTTTAGCAATTTTTATTAAAAAGTTATTAAAGATTTTATAAAAGTTTCAAATTTGTATATAATTCCTATACAAATTTAGAAATCGATATTTTGAAGCTCTAAATCTCAATAGAGAAAAATTCTAAAAATTTCAAAATTTCAAAATAAGCTAAAAATCATCTAAATTATATATATATATAAATTTTCAATAAATTCTATTCATAAATAAGAAAGTTAAAAATTCCATTTTTGATATAAAAAGTAGCTCAAAAGTAGAGTACTCGACTTATTAACTGTATTTTAGAATACAGAGTAAAATAATAAGATATAAATCAAAATCGAAACATTTTCGTAGTAATTTATCTTATATCATGTATATTGAGAATGTAATGATTATAATTTAGTATATTATAGTATAGCGTATCAGCTTAGGTGGTTTTATTCTCTCGCTCGATTAAATACTTTAATTTAAGAGAGGGAGAGATAGGTATAATAGAACTTAACTATACTAGACTAAGATATACTGAAATCTTGAATATATTAAAACAATTTCTTTACTTGCTTACTTTTTCTATAGGAATATTACATTTTTAAACAAAATTAAAATATTAAATACTTTTTTTCGAATTTGATATAAATTTTGGAAATAAATCTAGCTAAATAAGCTTTGATTAGTCATTATTATTTAATATATTTTTTAAAAATATTAGAGTTTGAAATTAAAATTTGATAAAAATATTAATTAGAGTGTTTAGTTTTTATATATATCGAAATCTGCTATATATCGAATCTAATTAATTGAATTAAATATATTTTTAATTTAATTCAACATTTTATAAATCGATATGTTCAAAGTTTTTCAATATTTTTTGTATTTTTCAATTCGGATCTAAATCACCTCTTAGTAATAAACTTATAATTATTAATATATAAAAGAGTAATGAGTAGAAGGTTATTCAATATGAATACCTAAATACTATAAAATGTACTCTAATCATTAAAAAACTAATTCTAAGTAAATATTAAACAACCTTAGATTAAAGTTAGTATAATAGCCTTTCTAATTTATTAATACTTTAATACCTATTACGGTGTAAGGGATAGGTACTAGGTAAAATATATGATATTCTATAAAGAATGAAAAAAAAGATGGAAAGGTGTTGACTATATAAAGAATGAATATTTTAGATATTTATATAATTACATATTGAATTCGTAATAATATTTTCTTTTAAGGACTTATTTATTCCAAGTAAGCTAAATCTATTATATAGCTTATTATTATATATAAATTAAATAAATAATTGAATTTATTAAATTAATAGCTTAAATATTTTATATTGATCTGACTTTTCTTTTACAAATTAATCTTTAAGCTCCTTATATTTTCTTTAAGTATTCTAATATAAATAATAAGATTGTTTTAGCTTCAGAATTATTTAATATTTATCTTAATGAATTAGGTTTTTTAAAATATATATAATAATACTTTATTAATAGTTTTTCATTTTTTTTCAAGTTTATTATTAATTGTTAAATAGGAGTATAATACTTTCATTTAATTAAATAATAATAATCATCTTTATTATAATTATTTATAACTTCTTTAAAGATTTATTTTTATATTAATTTATTCTTATTATTTTCTTTTTCGAGAATTCTATCTCTAATAATAACTAACTTTAATTTATTAATTATAATTTATATTAAAAAATGTATTCTATTAATTATAAAAGTAGATAATAAATAATAAAAAATAGAAAATATTTGAATATTATTTAATAATTGAATAAAATAGGAATAAGAATAAACCTTTATAATCTTATAATGTGGTTTATCATCGAGTGGTCCATATCATCAAGTGGCCCACTTTTATCTCAACTTACACTTTCAAACTTATATTATTCAATAATAATTAAATCAATTAATTAAAATTATTAAGAGTTTAATAATCTAGGATTTATTATATTATTTTAATAGATTCTTATATTATATTCTATCTTTTTGTATTTATTATAATATTAATTAAAAGATACTTTTTTATTAAAATTACTTTTTTTTAATATAATTAAATTTTTTATATATATTAATATTTATTTAATATTTTATTTACTATTTGAAGTATATAATTCTTTATATTTAAAAGTATATTTTTATAAGCTAATTTCTTTATACCTTTAATTAAAATTAATATAATTTTAAATATAAATATAGAAAAGCTTGATTAATAACAAATTATTTAAGATTTAATTAATGTTAATTAAGAAAAAGCTTTTATTAGATTATAAAGAATTTGAGAGATTTATTAATTTAGATTGAAAGAAAGGGGGGTAGGTATATAAATTTGAATATCTAATTTCGAGAATATAGCTTTAGGATTAAATAAAATTAAATCTGTTTTTTGGAATTCTGATTTTATATTCTAAAAGGTGATTAATTCCTTATATATAGCTTTAAAAGTTATAAAGAATTTAGTCTTTAAAATATAATTAATATATATTTTGATAAATTCATCAATTTGATTATCATATAAACATTTTAGATTATTAAAATAACTAATATCAAGTAATTGAATTAAATAATTTGAATATAATAGTAAATATAAATATATAATATTATTCTCTTTATAATATATTTGAAAAGCTATTAATTTATAACTTTTATATTTATTTAATATTAATATTCAATATTTGTTCTTTCCTCAATTCTTAATATACTTATTAAAGTATTTCAATTATTCTAAATCCGTTTCATTATTTGTTCACCTATTAAATATAGATTTAATAGTCTATTCTACAGAAAGATTTGTTTTAATATATCAATTAAAAAGATAAATTTATTCTTAAACTATTAAAAATAAGAGAATAATTTTATCCTTTTTATTTCTATATATTATTATTATAGTTTATTCTTAATTATCTAATTATATTATTTTATTTCTACTATTTCATTTAATATTAATTATTATTATTACTATACATATAATCTTTATTATAAAACCTATTTCATCAAAATTATAGAAATCTCTATCCAAAATACTATATTTCGCTTATATATTTATAATTAATTGAAATTATTTTTCAAAAAGTTTAAGATTTTTATAAAAAGCTTTTTGAAAGTTATAAATATAATTAAAATATATTTTTAATTCAATTCAATGTTTTGCGAATTAATATACTCAAAGCTTTTCAATATGTTTTGTATTCTTTAATTCAAGAATATTATTTACTATATCTTTCATATTCTTTAATTTAAATAAAAATTCTCTTAAATCCATATCAAATATATATTAAACAATTACTTTTTCTTCTAATTCTATAATCTTATAATAATTCGCTTAAGTTTTTATATAAAGAAATAAACTTTTTATTCTATATCGAAAAATTATATAAAGAATATTATAAAGTATAACAATCTTTCAAATGCTTAATTTTTTATTTTTATAAATAGCTTTA